TCACTAAAATAAATGGGCAACACAAGCAAGCCAACACAATAAATGACAAATTTACACTTCCAGGGCAAACTGTCTTTTGGACTCGACCCATGGAAACCTCTAAAATTCGTAAAAACACAAGAAAGGTGACAAATAAGATGACGCCATCCCTCCAATCTGGATTAATTGGCAGGTAGTAGCTAATTGATCTGAAGGTTTAACCGATCCGTTTCTTGAATGAAGTCAGTCTATCAGCTTCAACTACACGACCGGGGAATCATTTATACCACTCTCCCACCACCCTGAACATAAAGACATTTCAATCACGCCCATCGAAATCTCTGCTCCTTGTTGAGATCATATGAGATCAATTAGAAACAATTCGATACCACTTCTTCCCAAACCACGATATTTTTGACGACCGTCATCTGTCAATGTTGGTAGCGATAACAGCTAAAAGCATGACTTTCTCCAAGGCATGTGTTACTACGTGCATGCCACTGACGCGCGGTTCACTTAAGGAGTATGATAATGCGCCGCCTATCGGACTTGCACAACGCGTTTTTGCAGACGCTTGAAATCCAGGGGGACCTGGGCGATAAAAGCTGTTTGTTCTCGCCGTGAGACAGCTCTGCTCACAGGGGGATACGACTGAGAGACGCTTGACAGGCAGGCTGACAAACCCAGTGCAATGTGCTCCAAAGAGAAAACCCACACACAGGTTTCCCATCCCCGCGCTTGGGACAGGCTCATGCGCACTTGCAGAGCGCCGGATGCAGATGGAATGCCTGCCGCGTTCGCATTGCTAATTAAGTTAATTAACAATTAAAAGCACGCGCATGTTAAAAAAAATGTTCATCAGTTACTAAAGCCCATACTGCCGCCAACAAATTCTTGTTATTTTATGACGATAAAGCAGGCTCATTAAGGTACCGACAAAGAGTTTCACAGAAAGTAGGTCAGGTTCTCTAGATTCTAAACATTTTTCCCCCAACGTGAAAGCAGTTTGTAAAAATCAATTAAACAAAATACAACAGTGAGGTCTGTTAATGCAAAGGCCGACTGACGGCAGGTGTGCAGCAGTAGCAATGTCCAATTCACACACAAAATGTCTCCTTCGGAAGATCATAACTCGAGTGTTGATCGCGGCTCTCCTGATAACGGCGCTGCAGCAGACTGAGCACTCAAAGATAAGATGCTATACAGACTCGCTGCGGGGTGGTAAAACGGTCGTATCGCACACTCGTTTTACACTGCATTTTGTGTGGCAGACGGTAATTTCAAGCTCCTATTGTAGTGTGATGCCTCTGTTTCTGATTGAAGTGCCACTCTTCTCCTTGCGTGAGGACACACACTGCGACACAGGAGGGAGGCTCCTGTAATCTTTATTGCATGCGCCGCTTTTCAGCTTGAGCCCGGGGCCGGCACCTGCAGCCTGCGACAGGCGCACACACCTGGGCGGAGAGCAGAGCGTTTCTGCTCGCATCCCCGGAGTATGTGCCACTTCTCCGAATCTCTTAAATGCGACAGCTTTATTAAGACTTGCACGAACGTTTGCTTGTTCTGCATTTATAAATGTATCATTGCCCTCGAGCGAAGCTGCACTGTGAGACCCAAACTGGAAATGAAAACATTTCTCGAATTGCTCAATTTCCATCGAAAACAGCAAGCTGGTCAGCGGACTGGGAGTGCAAATGGAGATACAGAACGTCTTTCCAAGATGCACAGCCGGGCACTAGTGTGGCCCTTGATGAAAATGTGCCACAGAACTGACCACAATTATCAGAAGACAGGGAAACCAAATTAAAAAAAAAAAGCATAGTTTGCAAGCTAGCTGGGGGCAAGCCCAAAACAACAAAGATTTCCCAAAATGACACCAGTCTTCAGGGCACTCATTGCAAGACTGGTATCTCTGACTGTCGAGACACCTTAGTTGTATCAACCATCGTAACAGAAAAAAGGATCAAAGTGCTGATCCAGACAGCGGCGTGTCTGCAGCCCATGCTCTCTGTTTGTGGGTGCCTGGGTGAATGGGGTGGGTCTAATCAAGAATTCACATCCACTGGCAGATTGCAGCTTGGTGATTCATTGAAGCCTCTTCTGGACCAACACACATCTCCAGAAACACGGCTCCCCCGCCCGCTGTTCGTCTCTCATTTTTTCCCCCTCATTTCAGAAGCAGCTTCGCGGGTTTTCTTTTTTAGTCTCCAAGAGCTCTTCAGATATTCTGTTTCGTTTGGACATTCACTGTGAAGACAGTGTGCCGCCTCTGCACACGGTGATACTTTTCATCTGTTTCCCTGTGTTTATAATGTTTCCTATCACTGAAACAAGTAGGGAAATGAAATCAATCCCAGATCAGGGAGCTGCCTAGTGTTCCCAGATGCTGTGAATACCTATCACCGCAGCTCTGTTCCCACTGCCAACAGAGTATCCAGTGTGATGCACACCAAGAAACATCCATCCATTTTCTAAGTGCTTCATCCAATATAGGGTCACGGCCTATCCCAGCAAGCAACAGACTCAAGGCACCCACGAAATAAGACATCAGAGCTGCACTGGTGTATCAGTCCCCCCAGAGGACCTGCCTTGACAAACAGCTGGGAACTCCAAGCAGCAGACAGGAAGTACTGCGGACAGCTGCAGGTGTGGAAGGGAGATCAGCACCCCTGCTGTCCTGTTGCTTAGTAACCACTATAAAGTTGCATAGATATATTGGAAAGGACAATCTGGACTTTCTGCATCCTTGGGGCTTGAAGACAGAAGGGACTTTGAGTGGAAGAGAAAAGAGAGACAGAATCAGTGGTCCCTGTTTTAATGCACAACACTTCCAATTCAAAAGAGTCGGTGTGTGTGGGGTGGGAAGTAACTAGTATTTTGAAAACTACAGTTCCTCTCTGAAAAATAAGACCCTGTTGATACACTTATAGAAAATAACAAGATATTCGACTCAACATTCAGAAAGCCCCGTTCCTGAGCTGCTCTTTTCTGTCTGGTCCTGGGCCAGCTCTGTTTGTTTACACTGTTGTGTGAAACCTGTTCGCAGACTCGCTGCTGAGCGTGTTGTGTCCCCCCGTCCAAGTGCAGTTGTGAAAGATTTAGATGGGGAAGGAAGGAAGCTGCAAACGAAACTATCCTTGCAACAATTTTACAATCTGTGTTGGAAAGTGACATTGGCCCAAAATGAGAAGCTTAGGAGAGAGTTAGAAGGTTCTGGAGGCTTTTGCCCGAGCCACTTGGCAATGCCTCCTTTGTAGAAGACCTAATAACCTCTTCAACCTGGGTAATGTGACTCAGAGCAAATTCCTGAACTCCTCTTCCACAAAGTCATCAGCTACCCTGCCTCCCTTCGGACTCGTCTTTTCTCATTCTTCATTCGTTACTGAGCGAGGTACACAAGCATGGGCACTTCCATTTTTTTTGTTTGCATTCGCCACCACCACGCCTAAAAACCAAACTGCAAAACAATGTCCACCGGAGCACAGGTCTTTATTGTAGGTCTGGAGAGAAGAGTGCAGCTGTGAAATGGTTCTGCCCAGTTCCTAAGGTCACTATGATTCACATGCTCCCGTTACAAGCCAAGCCAGCCAGATCATTCATTGGTATCAGGTTCTCCACACTGCCTTGCAGAAAGTGAAAGCAGGAACACACATCACAGATTTGCAGTGCAGTCACCTGTTCCCTTGTATAACAGATAAAGATGCCTTTGTTTCTTCCTGGACTCCCTCTCTCCTTCTCGATGTACTTTGCTTTGGCTCTTTCTGTTCATCATTCTCTCCTGCTCCTTCCTAATCTGATTACCTGCCAGGAAACTGTATCTTGCGCTGCTAGAGCACAGGGGCTGCAGCTGACAGAATGTGAAATGAAATCTGAAATCTTCTTGTGCAAAGATCCCCTGGGGTCTCTACAAAAGGAGTAAGTTTGGGGGGCCACTGATAAGGGCTGGCTCCCAGCCGTCTTATCCTAACCCAGCTGGAGTGGCAGCCTTCTTAAAAAGAAGAGAGCTATTCATCCTGGTCTGATTGAAAACTATTTTAATGAGGGAATAATGTGTCTGGCAATGTAATGCATCTGTGTAATGAGGTAGAAACTGTTAAGCTAGTGGCTGGCAGTGAGTGATATGCGGTACAGAGCCAAGGCTTCTGTCTTGTGTGTAACCAAGGCTTTCTCTCAATCGCACCCTCCTGAACCCCTGTGTTTCATCTAGGAGTCAGTCCTTTTCATTGCCATTAAAAAGCCAAGAGATATGAGCTCTGCTTGTGTTTGATGAAGTGCTGCCACCTAGTGGCTGCCTAGACAATGAGAGGCGGAACAGCAAATCGGCCGGCCTCTCTGGAGTTGACGCAAGTCAGATCAGATCACTTTATTAGCCCTATACAACTTCTTGTATTAGGAATTTGTCTTTTTCGCACTCCCCAGCTTGCTCTCCATGAGACGCACAGACACAAAGAAAGGGAGAGAGAAGCTTGGTGGACGTCCTGTCCAGGGTGTATCCTGCCTTGCACCTGCTGCTGGAGAGTAGGCTCCAGTTTCCCCTGCAAACCTGTACTGGATGAAATTAGACATATGTGGTTAGAAATTGGATGGATGACACTCCCTCCTTTGCTTAACTGTTCCAAATGACCTAATCGGATTGATTTTTTTCAAGATTATTGAAACCTTTCCTATGAAAGCAAGCTTCCATGTACCATTTAGATATTTTATGAGGGACAGAATACTCTTAGGAAAACAGGTAATAATACCTTAGATCTTAATATTTTTAACCTGTCATTTGATATCTGTATGATTGTCTCATTATACCTGTACAATTGGCGGCAGAGCCAAGAAAATTAAATTTAGAAACAATCCAAAGATGTCGGAAGGGTTATTAAAGTCCCTTCACTGTTATTGCATGTCTTCTTTCAGAATGATGCAGATCTTTCGGTCCATATCAGCAATAGCTGCACTGATACGGACTCGCAGTGCTGACCGCTTCAGGCGCTGGAGAGCTGTCCCACTAACGCTTGTCTTGTTTGACGCAGGAGAGATGTCCCCGGCTCTGCAGCTCCTGATTGGCTTGCTGTATCACATGGCATGCGGGGGGGCGGTGCCGGGTCACATGACACAGGGGCCCGTAGAGCACCGCTCCGCCTTCTCCGTGGCCCGGACCAGCAGCATGGAGGGGGGCCCCAAGATGGTGGTGACCTTCGACAAGGTCTACGTCAACATCGGGAACGACTTCGACCCCAAGACCGGTATCTTCCGCTGCAGAATCCCCGGCGCCTACTACTTCTCCTTCACGGTGGGCAAGTTTCCCAGGAAGAACCTGTCCGTGATGCTGATGAAGAACAAGAACGAGGTGCAGGTCATCGTCTACGACGAGCACCACAGCAAGGAGAGGAAGGTGCAAAGTCAGAGCGCCATGCTGCAGCTGGATTTCGGGGACACCGTGTGGCTGCGGCTGCACGGAGACCCCAGATACGCTCTGTACAGCAACACGGGGCCGTACACCACCTTTAACGGGTACCTGATCTACCCCGACACCTACTCCTTCCAGAGGAACAGCCTGTCCTACCAGGAGCTCAGGCACGGCCCTGTGGGCCAAGGGCCAGCTGACTGCGCCGGGGCTCAGCGCCTGGACCACATGCTCTCCGACCAGCCAGCGCGCCGCGAGGAAGAAGAAGAGGGTGAGGAGGAGGAGGAGGAGGAGGGGGACCCCAGGTCGGCCTTCTCCACGGCCAGGACCCAGAGCGTCACGGGGGAGGACCAAGGCGCGCTGGAGCACAGGCCCATGACCTTCGACACGGACTTCGTCAACATCGGCGGCGACTTCAACGCCTCGGCCGGCGTCTTCACCTGCAGGGTGCCCGGCGCCTACTACTTCTCCTTCACCATCGGCAAGCTGCCCCACAAGACCGTCTCCGTGAAGCTGATGAAGAACAGCCTGGAGGTGCAGGCCATGATCTACGACGACAGCCGCTCCAAGAGGCGGGAGATGCAGAGCCAGAGCCTGATGCTGTCTCTGAAGAAGGGAGACACCGTCTGGCTCTACAGCCACCAGCACGAGGGCTACGGCGCCTACAGCAACCACGGCAAGTACATCACCTTCACCGGCTTCCTCGTCTACCCGGAGCTCCCACGGCCCCGAACGCAGAACGCCGCCAAGGAAAAGAATGAAATATGATCCTGCCGCCTGTGCCCCCTTAATTTATTGAGTGAGTGTTTCTATTCCCTTTTCCTCCCTTGGAAACGTGATGGATTGTGCGGAGTGAGACGTCGCCTTTCCTGTCCCTCTGCCCTTTTCTCCCACCCCAGAAGCATGTGAAAGGACTGCAAACCGCCCCCCCCCCCGCCCCTCCTTCCGTCTTCGTGTGTGAAGATCAGTTTTCTCCCCTGCTCGGAGACAGCAGTGCGCGCGAGCTGGCTTTCTGGGGACTGACAGCAGAAAGTAACTGGAAATGCTTTCCACTGCAAACCAAAAAAAAAAAAAAATTAATGGCTGAACATTTGGTTCTCGTCTGGTTGTCATTAATCTGACCTGAGCTTGCTCTGTCACTGTTCAGAGGAATTTCCACTTCAGACAGTGAGATTTCCAATTTGAAGTAAAGAACAAATAATCCAACTGTAGTTTATCGGGCCGTTATGTTTTTAGATGTGTTTGTCACGCAGAACATAGAATTCCTTCTTTACAATTAAGCGCTCATTTATGATCCTCCCAGAGGAATTCGGGGGCTTTGACAAACTACCTTGTTCAATCTGGGAAGATAATCTACCCGAGAAGCGTTGCTGCCTCTCTCTCTCTGGAAAGTCTGGGCTGCTGGTGTTGTTTTTTCAGGGTTTTTTTTATTTTTCAAAAAAGTTTACAAACCTGCCGTTGAACAGACACAAGCACATTCTCTTTTCTGCCAGACATCAAAACCTTTAATAGGTACGATGTGCCTGTTACGGACTGTTTCATGGTAGAGTATAAAAAGGAGTAAGTGCTCTTATTTAATGGGAAGAGAGAATATATTAATACACTGTATTTGGTTTGTTCTTACATTTGGTGGATCGTGAGAATCCATCATTGCCATTTTGTGGTGTTTCTAATGCACATGGGTTAACAAAAAGCAGTCAACTTCAAATAAATCCCTAAAATAATAATTGAGTGACTTATAATTTTAGGCTAATGCTATATTTGATTTCATTTGTGATTCTCATTTTAGTAGTTTTAGCAATTACCAGACAAATAAAAATGATTAAAGAAATAACAGACTGAAATTGTTAGTATGTTACAGCAGTTTTTCTATGAAAAGTGGGTAAATACAAATTATTTAACTGATACTAAAAAGGGCTTGAGTGATCTAGAAACAAAAAAGTTTTTGTTGCTTTCCAGAATTTTTAAACAGGCAAAAGGATTTAACCCATAATGATCAGCTGCTAAAAAGGTATTTTCACGGGAACCATTCCTTCGTACTTTTAATAATCAAGCACATCAGAGCTGCCCAGCGCAATTTAAAAAGTTTTTATTGAACTAGCAGAGGGAAAAGAAGGCGTTCTGGGAAGATAAATGAAAGCTGGTAAAAATGCAGGTCCACCTTCTGCTGAAGGAACTGCTAAGGTAAGGACTGGGCAGTCCTGGTCCTGCTCTACTTGTGTCTCCAGATTTTCCATGGATCTTTAAAGCAGCAGCCCCACCAGCACACCTGAAGCTGTTGAATCCCTCCCATTAAGCCAACAGGGAGCTGAGCTGGAACGAGAACCTGGCGCCAGATCGCCTCACACCCGGACTGGGTGATGATGAGAGTCTGATGGTCTAATAGGACACGTCAGACGAAACTGCGCACTGCGGCGCATCAGAATGAAAGTGCATGTACTGTACATATGACTCAACTGGGAATATTATTCCCACGGACAAATGACGACTCACCACCGAATGAACGCTGGCGGGTGTCCTTACAATTTTACTCTCTAAAACTGTATGCACCGTACATTCTAGGGTGGCACATTGCGCCCCCTGTCGGACATCAGCGGGGTCTAGCCTGTAGATGCGATCTTCTCTCTCGTGTCCGTGCGTGCGCCGGCTTCCAGCGCGCTCCACGGCGCCCGGCTCGCGTCCAGATCCACCTTGCCGAGTTGCCGGGCGCCCCCTTACGTACCGAATTTAAAAGCGCTACTCTCGCCCGAGAGTGTGCGACACCTGATCTGCGCCGGCGCTGCCCTCTCCCTGAACGACATTGACCGTGACAAACCCGCAGTGTCAGGTCCGCTCATCACCCTACTTGGCCGGGGTGAAAAGCGCAGATCCGCGAGAAAAGCTGAGCTGCCCGGAAAAAAATGGCTTTGAAATGAAGTTGAAAAGAAGACAACCCCAGGAAGTTAGAAAAACAGAACATGGAAAAAACGTGACTGCAATGTCAAAGTAAACATTATTTTGTATTTCTACTCAAAAGTGGACCGTTGCGTTAAACTGGATGTGACATTTTGGTTACTTGTACTTTTTATCACCCGATGAAGCACATGACACACAAAAAAACTAACTTTTATAAGACATATATCCATTGTGCTCTCTTACGTAAAAAAAAAAGAAATAATTCATTGAGCTGTGCAAAAAAAATATTGTAAATGGTCCTTTTGAAAAAAATGGATGCTAAATGTGAAACTTGCTTGTGTACATGAGACGTTTAAAATAAAGATGATTGTTAAAAGGGAAGAATTAGAATGAGAGGAATTTCATTTTTGTTAAAGTGTAATGATTAAGAAAACACCAGCTACCTCTCTTTAACTGTCAAGGTGTCATTCAGTAGATTTGGCCTTTTTAGAAGTACAACCACAGACCTACAGATCACAAGAGCAAAAAAAGACGCATCTCAGCTTGAGGACCTGCTATGGTGTCTTTCAGTGTTGTATCAATTAGGTGGTAGGCAGTGCAACGAAAAACAAGCTTCCCTATTTATAGAGACCACCATGGAAAAGCTTCTTGCACTTCTGAAATCCCGATAAACACACTCCTCTTACAAAGGCGGATATTTTGCAATCCATTTACTGTTTATATGAAGCCGGGATTGGTTCTCCAAAAAAAATGTGGGATATTTTTCCCTCCCAGGAGATATTTTCCTAAAAATGCCTTGTTGGTTCATGCTTAAATGTTCTAAGCTTTTATCTGGCCTTGAAAACATATTAAAACCTTCCCATGACAGCTTTGTTTCTAAGGAAACCAATAATTTCAGTGCACAGTGATATACAAATACAACTTAATAATTAAACACAATAATTGTAATAAACAGTACACAAGGGCTCATCAAAATGTTAAAAATGTAGACAACTATGTGAAATCGGTGTACATTCCTTTATCAAAATTTGATGGTCTGTCATTACAAACATAGTATTTTCATACATATATATAGTTTAACATCCAAGTGATAGCAAAACAAATGTGCACTTCTGCTTATGCAAAAGAATTATTGCATTGCAGCTGAAACAGTGCAGAGCAAAGAACTTGCACAGCTGAAGTTTTAAACGTTTGCCTCGAATTACTGGGAATCACCCAGAGATACTGAAATTCAAGCCCAATACTGATGGCAAGCTTCCACTGAGCAGAAGCAAGAATTTTCTGGCAAACCAAGAAGTACCACGTTTGTGATCTGCTCCTGCAGATAGCGCTGTTGATTAAGTCCGAGCCCTAACTAGCTAGAATTTATAACAGAGTTAAATTTCTACTGTGTTATCGGTGTCAAATATGTTTTTAATTTCCTATTTTAAAAACAAAACATTCTGTGCTGCGAGTCAGGGAACAAAATGGGCTTAGAAAAAGCAGAACCAGAGACTGGCACGTTTTTTTTGGCACGTAGCAGAACAAGAAAGCTCTTTCCAGATCCAGGTGCGTGGCTCTGAGCCACCAAGCGGGACAGGCCCGGGACAAGCCCGAGACAGGCCCAGGACAGTCCCGGGACAGGCGCGGCCCTGTCTCAGCCCGAGCGTCGAGCGCGTCTCCGCAGGTCCACGAGGGTGGCGTTCACCAGCCGGACAAGGAGCCCGCCCCAGGCCTTCTGCGGGTGCTCCAGGTGCTGGCGCCGCATCTGGTAGGCCGAGTACACGGTGCCCAGCACCAGCGTCTCGAACCGGAACAGCTCCAGGGGCTTCTCCTGGTACGGCAGCGCGGCCAGCATGCGCTCCATGGTAATGACGGTTTTGGGGACATAGTCATTGAGCAGGGTGATGAAGACCTTCCCCTTGCGCATGGAGGCCATCTCCTCGTCCAACATGTAGATGTTGTCATCATCGTCTATCACCAGTCCTCCCAGCAGGAACTGCAACATCAAAAAACAGGCTGAGGCATGGCAGCCAGGTAACTCCTGCTGCAGCACGGCCTTCTGAGGTGCTTTCAGGCACAGTGCAGAATTAAAAGCATTAAAAAGCACAACATCTCTTCACATTGCAGGTTGGAGCACGCAAGGGAGGGGTTTCATGGTTTCGAGGGGGGCATGGCGTGGGTTCGGAGAGCTAAGGAGGTTTTGCCTCGCGTGGGCTTGAGTGGGGAACTCGAGAAGCGGGCAGGAGCAGGATTTGCCACCTCACTGCTGTCCAGTGGGGCTGGCGGTAGGCTTGGCCCTGGGCCCCTGGCCGAGGAAGACAGCAGAGCGGGGCTTGGAGCGAGAGCGAGACCAGAGACCTCTGGGACCGAAGACTTCTCCAAGCACCGGGTGATGGTTTGATACTGTTTGGGAGGTGGTTTTCAACCTGCCCCTGTCCTGTGTGAATCCCGCTGTCTCGGGTGGCTCTGGGGAAGTGGGGAGCGTTCCGGCCAGTGTAGAGTAGCAGGGCACTGTCCTTACCTTGACATTCCTGGCAGTACTGTCTTATCCTGGGGCTGCTGTTATCGCTGGAGGACAGCCAGAATGTTACTGCCTTGAATCTCCAGTGTTCAGTAAAGGCTTGGCAGCACTAGACTACTTTAATGCAGACTGGGAAAATATAGGTATGATACACATCCCGAAAAAAGCTCCTTAGGGGGAGATGACACTCCCTCATGAAAGAAAGTTTCCTTGAGGCTCTGACCGTATGTGAACACCAATCCTGCCAGGTTGTACACACAGAAGTCAGCCCCCTGCTGATAGAGGTTGATTCAGTGTGAATTAGTGCTCCACTATTCAAACACATTTGTGCTCAAATCCTTCCCTGCAGCTCTCCTGTGTTTCTTCCTGGTTCAGAATTACATCTCATCACCTTGAGCCACGTCCGTCAGAGAGAAGAGACCGCCCAGCCTCTCTCCCGGTGCCGCCACACAATTCAGAGAGTTCATGACTGTGAGCTGGCTCCTTAAGCCATCTGGAGAGGATGAGGTAACTTTTTGTATTAAACAAAACAAAACTCAGCTGTACGCTTGCATATCTATTTGATCATATCAATTCCTTGAGACTGATGCAAAAAACAACAACAGAGGCTGACGTTGTAATGAAAACCAATTCAATTTTGTTTGCACAGTAATTACGGCACTAGTATGCCATAGTGTGTTTTTGCTCCAAGGGATAGGTACAAGTCAGCAGTTAGGAATGTCAAATGCATCCCATCCAACTTAGTTTATTTTAGTGAAAAACAAAAGACCAACAACAAGACTCCATGGCAGAGAAAAGAATTTGTTTTTTTTTTGCATTCTGCTCACACATCTGCACTTTGACTTTTCATTGTCCTTCGTCACAGACAGAGATTCACCATTGTGACGTCACAATGTGATCCTGATGATTTCAAATCTGCTGCATTGTGAGGTAACAATGCGATACAGGTGATGTCAAATGTGCAACAGTGTGATGTCACAATGGGATACATGCAAAACACAAACAATCGGTGTATACACTTTTCCAGTCAGGGCAACCTGTTTCTTGCATGTGTTAATGCAGGCAATGGTATTCAAAATCCTCAAAGACAGGGAAACAAAACTCAGGGCACTCAAGTGGAAACCACTCGGATGTGCATTTTTAAAACTGAGAACAGGAGACACTTCTTCACCCAGAGTGCTGTGGGAGACTGTATCAAAGCTAATCAGCACATGCAGTCCAAGATACTAACTCCCAAACGAATGGCCTGAAGGCTTTTCAGATGGAAAACTGGACAATCAAAATTGCACCGAGCCCTAAAAGGGCGTTTTTAGACGAATGTGATAATTCCCAATGCTTATATTCTAGTGGACATATCCTTGTGTATAGCTGATAGCCCGGTTGCCATGAGTACATGGTACTTTATCTTCTTTTTTTTACCATTTCGGTGGTTAGCTAGCTTGTTGAACTAACTTCTGGAAATAGGATATAAAGTATCATATATATATAAAAACAACTCTGGTTGTTCTCTCTTTAAGGCGCATCTGCTTTGAATTGGAGCAGCTCCGGACACGGCGAGCGAGCTGCTTTCACGCAGCTGTCTGAAGAGACAGATTTGTGAGCCGCTTTGAAGTGCAACTGTCAGAACGCGCTCCGACTCCAAATCGCGTTAACACATCAGATCACAAGAATATTCCTATGCGCGGTTTCAGAGGCAGAGTGCGGCTTCTTCGTGGGAGCACCTCACGTTTTATTCACGAGAAACAGCCGTGGTCTACAAAGTGCCTTGCTTTTTCTATGATCTGTGAAACAGATGGGACGCGAACGGAACTGGCACATTCTTCTCGGCTCAGCGAGGGAGTCACGCCAGTTTCTAATTAATATCAGCGCGCACCATCACGTTTTGGACAATCAGGGACGCCAATTTAGCAAGGGGCGAGGGTCAGAAAGGTTATGAAGCTTGGACTCGTGAACTCATGTTGTGGGGTTTAAATCCCAAGCGAGGGTCCTGCTGTTGTACCCTTGAGAGAGAGGCGCTTCTCTGGGATCACTCCAGTAAAACGCTCAGGGATTAAAGCGTCAGCCAACGTAGTAGCAGCAGTAATAGTCATATACCATTAGCATACTGTAAATATGGAAGAGAAAAAATATATACATTACCTCATACATAAGATTTGCGTCGCTAACGTTTTTAATGAAATTAAGGGATGTTACAGTAGCAAGACCCTGTAGAGCAGGAATGTAGAAGTCTGTAAAAAAAAAGAAGGTTTATTTTCTAACGGTAGGCATAGAAAGAGGAAATGCATTTGGTTGCTAGCGACCTTTCTTTGATGACCACATAATACGCTATCTCGGGGATTCTTAAAGGTTTCAATATTTGGATTTTGTTATTCCGAAATTGTAGCCCCGCACCAGAAACCCTCCTCGCCCTCGGCACCGCTATCGTGCGAGTCCGGCACATTTCTCTGCCAGACTTTTCACAGCTCGGCTCAAGCGAGGCATTTTCGCTCTCGGCTCTATTTTCGCTGTCTGAAGTCTTCCCATTTATCTGCAACACAAGTAGCGATCCGTATTTGGATGCTCCCTGACCCCTCCCCCCAAAAAAATTCTAAAAAGTTAAATAGAAGTTATATTTGGCTCAGAACGGACACCATGAATCCGTGCCTTTGGCTTCCGAGCATTTGTCTTAAAAGGTATCCTGATGAATGTGCCACGTAACACACCGACTTCAGAGTAGGTGGCGACTGCATGCCCTCGCGAATAAATTCAGTTATAGCGTTCAAAAGCATATGCGGGTGTCCTAATCTAAACCTATTCATCTAAAATATGGCCATTTGGAGATGCGACGCCTTTGCCAGAGATAGCAACTCGGAACAGACGCAAAAGAGCTCCACAACTCAAGAAAACGACGCACCCTGAAAACAAGTGCATCAACGGCGTTCGGTCGGACTCAGGGATGGAAAGGAATCAGGTGTTCGCTTCATACAGAGTCCTGGTTTTATTTTTTGTTATAAAACGAGCAACTACAATATACCCGTGACTCTATATTAAAATTACCGTAATGCTACTACTCACGATACATGCTTTTAAACTGTCATTCCTCAAGGAAAAAGTATTTCCCACACGACTGTCACCACCAAAAGGAGGTTAGAACAAACTCTTTCGGGATATAAAAGTCATACCTTACCTTATCCAAAAGTTAAGTTGTAGAGGAGATCATTTCTTAGACCTATTACCCGTTATTATACCATGGGACAGAGGCGTCTCCCGGGTAGGAGTACTACAAATTCGCAATGATAAGGGTGTTGCCACGCACTTCTTAATGCTACTGCAGAAAAGGTACTATTAACAACAACCGTCATTATTCTATCGCTTCAACAACGGCTTTTTAAAAAAAAAACAACTGTTGTGCGACACGGGGTATTAACAGGACTATATTCCGCCTGGTGTTAACCCAATTAATATTTATAATGGTGATGCACACTAAACCAAAACAGTCCCGGTCACGATTTTGAGCAAACTTCAGAACTTACAGAAACTAGGTTAACTCAAAAGCACCTTCCCTGGTCACATTTGGTTATAAAAATCTGAACGATTAAAAAAGAAAATAAAAACGGGAGATAGCGTGCGTCTCGCTGCACGGCGGAGAGTCGCGCCGGGTTGCCCGGCTGTCACCGACACCACAGCCGACATCGATACGTTTGCTGCTACTACAACAAGCCCACCTGTGTCCTTCCGAGAGCCCCCGAAGATACAGAGAGCCACACCGGCCAAGAGGCAGAGCCCCAGCTGCGCGGCCGCGGTCATCCTGACAGCAACACAACCTCTCCCTCCTCGTGATTGAATTCTTCTTCATCCAGCTGCGCCAGTCCGCGCCTCACTTCCTGCCCCTTGAAACCGTCTGAGCTGCGCTAGCATACCGCAGAGCCAAGACACCCTCTGCTCTCTGTCGCCTCCTGTAATAACAACAGAAAACGCCTTTCGGGTTTTTTTTTTGTTGTTGCTCGTAGAAAGCAGAAACCCCAGGCGAGTGGAGCTTCTCCTTGACCCGTTCGATTCGGTTTAGAACCGACTTCGAGTCCGTAAACTCCGAAACAAGTGCCGAACAAAACAAAGAAATTCGCATATGCGCCGCCGCATCCTGGGCACGGCAGGTATCTCAGAGTGTGATACGAGGAATGCGATTTGTATCGCCATGGGACAGCCTCAGAGCTGCTCTGTGGTTTGGATACGGTAAACCACAAAGCTGAAGTTTGGAAAAGCCTCGAAAGGTCGTGGATTGGAAGGGAAAACGTCCATTCCAGCTTTAAAATGTGGAATAAATAAAAGTATATTAAAAAAAACTTGGGAGTTCTGTTAAAGTGTTAATGTATCAGATGCAGTTTTTGAAACATTTCTGACTTTTGACGTACTAGCACAAAGAGAGCACAAGGCATTGCACTTGGTTTTTTTTTCAACCCAGGGCTATGAATGCGTCACAGAAATATTTTAAGAAACCGCCGCTGGTTTGACTGTGACACTGTAACGTACACTGCGTTATCTCTGCAGATTTGGCTGCGGTCTGTTCTGCTATTGCTCGTGTCAGCGTCCAAGTAAATAAAAATGAAGAAGAAACAAAAGTTACAAGAAACATGCTACCGATTCGTCACACTTGACTGGTTCTATTTGCAAGCTCCGAGACGGCGAATAAGGTAAACAGACGCGCAGTTCAAGGGGAGGCCACAGATGAGGAATGCGGTGCTGCTCCAGGAGCTTGTCTTGCCCAGGCGTCTGCGGTCCAGCCTGCATCTGGAGCGCGACTCCTCCTCCGCGCCCCGGAGCAGTGAAGAGCCTGTCGCGGGGCACCCGGCAGGGCATGCGGCGACTTGTGGAACGATTCCAAGGAAGAGCCGCACTTCCACAGGAAAAATAAAAGTAGCCGCAGGGCAGATTTAATGCCTGCAGACGCGAGTTGAAGATAAAAAAGCCCCTTAAAGGTTATGTCAAAAGTTTGGCCAGCAGGATCAACCCGCAGCTCCCAGCTGGCAGCCCACTGGAGCTCAGCAGGTGTGAGCCTGGTCAGTATCTGGATGGGAGACTCCTGGGAAAGCTAAGGTTGCTGCTGGAAGAGGTATTAGTGGGGCCAGTAGGGGGCGCTCGCCCTGCAGTCTGTGTAGGTCCTAATGCCCCAGTATAGTGATGGGGACACTGTACTGTAAAAAAGGCGCCGTCCTTCGGATGAGATGTAAAACTGAGGTCCTGACTCTCTGGGGTCATTAAAAATCCCAGGGTGTTTCTCGAAAAGACTAGGGGTGTTACCCCCGTGTCCTGGCCACATTTCCCAATGGCCCTTACAAGTCATGGCCTCCTAATAACTCCCATCTCTGAACTGGCTTC